AAAAAAAACAGATTTAATTTGTGATGATTTATGGGAATTGGGGAATATTTGGAAGAAGAAAAAAAAACGACTCAATAAATACTCTATAACCAGGAAAGGAGAACAAATAAAAAAAAAACCCGAAACGAATAAAACGATTGGGCCAAAAAAGAATCATTACTCTCAGAATTCAAAGGAGGCAAACTAAAAAAACATATAGTGTAAGACACTAAATTACCCACTGTGTTTTCGCCATCGTAGGCAAAATGTCAGTTTACCTCTATTGTATTAAAATTGTTGGTGAAATGTCATTTTACCTACATTGTTGGTGGCCGACAATTTAAATACAATGGAGGTAAACTGACTGTGTTTTACACTATATGTTTTTTTAGTTTGCCTCCTTTGAATTCTGAGAGTACCTATATATTGACTTATTTCAAGTCCCTCAAATAATTCGTTATACGAAACTCAATTTTCGATTCGAAACAATTTACTTGAAGATATTTCTAATTTTTTTTCTCTTTTCACCCGATTCGGTTTTTTTCTTCCTTTCTTCATTTTATATAACGTTATTGGCGCGCCGCTGGAACACAAACAAATCTCAAATATTTGCTCTTCGTTTGTGTGCGCTGCTGTGACTGTTGTTTGTTTGTTTTTTCTTCTCTAAATAGGAATACAGTTGAACGACTGGCTATTTCATCTTATTTCAATCAAATCGAAATGGAAAGTCGTTATTTTAGCCAGGCTTAAAAATGAAATACGTGATAACATCTATAGCAATATATAATATTGCTTTTAAATTTCTTGTTTTTTTTACTACTCCTTCGCCGCTTTTTTCTCCTCTTTTTTTGGTACTAAATTTTGGAAACTTTTTTTTTGCATCACCGGATCAGTTTTAATCTGCTTAGTTAATAAAATTTTTCTTCTTTTTGTTTCTTGCAAACAGTTTAAATTGCCAGCGATTGCATTAAATGCACATCGATGGGCTTCAATTTGTCTCACTTTGTGAGAGAACAACAAATTCTGTGTCTCAATTGTGTGTATGTGCTTGTTTTCACTCCTTCTTCTTCTTCGTTTATTATTCAAAAATGTCTAAAATCTAAACCTTTTGCTTCTTTTAATTATATAATGTAGGTATATACTCTTTTTTTTTGGTTGGAAGATAGAATTTTTTTTTGTCCATAACATAATATAAATTTCAATTAATAATATGCAATCATTAAAGTGTGTGTATGTGTTTTTGTTCCTTCATATGGCAATAAATTCTATGAAAAGTGACAAACTTGAAAAAATGCGTTCGTTTAAAAGTGGTAATTTCACTCTGTGTGCATGTCGTTTAAATGTGTGTTTCTCTTTTTCAACCATTTTAGCTTTTGGGATCTGTGTGATGAGTATATATTTTGCACCGTGTGGGTCATTTACTGGAATTTTAAAATTTTTCTTCATCGTCGAGTGTGTAAGTATGTGTGACAGAGATAGAAAGTGTTTGTAACACAGAACAAAAGTGTGTATGTGTTTGTGAGGGAGAGATAAGACTTAAATTAATCGCGATCGTTTTGGTTAAATCAATCTCATTGGAGGAAGGAGCAAATGTAGAAACTGGTTCTGATCAAACATACAAAATAGATGATCTATGGAAGTCATTTTGTAAAAAAAAATTATTTCATTTCAATGTGTATTTCATTTTGAGTGTGATGCATGCAGTCTCTTCGTCAAAAAGATGTGTGTAGTTTTCACTGAATGTTCGTCTAGTAGTTGTGGTTTTTCATTTAGTTTGGAATATCCAGAAATATCAGCAATTTATCGACTATAACTAATCTATTATTTTCTTGTCTCGTTTTAGATATCTGATGCGTTGCAAGAAAAAAAAAGAAGAGAAAAATGTCGCTAAATTTATTCCTAGGAGAGTGACTTGCATTTAATTTTGTGCAATTATTTCTGTTGTTGTCCTATGTTCGAGATCATAAAAATGTGTGTGTGTGTGTGTGTGTGTGTGTGTGTCTGCATAAAAAATATCGTACAAATTTATATTATTATTCCATTTTCTGAGTTTGAGGGGAGGAGGGAGCTAAGAGACCACACGGCGCAATCAATATGAAACGCATTTGGAATCAGTGCGCCCATTGGTCGTGGGCATCAAAATGCATTTCTTCTTCTTTTTTTTCTCTAAATAGTTAGTTTAGAAACGAATGAACGGTGTGATTAAGGAACGTAAAACGATAAAATTCCCGAAAAACAAACCAAAAATTATAACAAGATTCATTTTTTTAGCTAAATTACATTATAGAATGTCTCACTCAAAATTGTTTATCATTTGTTGTTTTGTTTGTATTATTTTCTTTGTTCTACGCTTATTACGCATACGATTTAGATTTAATTTAAAGAATTACCTTAATTTATTCAGAAAATGTGTTGGGAACAAAATCCATGGAATTTATAAGATTTACTTTAGCTTTTTTGTTCGATGGAGGTTTCTTCTGCTTCTCATTAGTTTTTTTTCACTCATTATTTTCTCGTGTGTTTTTATTCTTTTCTTCATTTTAAATTTGTTTTCGTTTAGAAATTAGCTTTACTCCATTTCTCATTTTAAATTTGTCATAAAATGTCTAAATTGTTTTAGTTCAATAAATGCTTTTTGTTTTAGCTGATGAGCTTGGATCGATGATGTTTGTTTTACTTTCTTTGCAAATATTTCAACGAACGATTATCGATGATGTATTATGTGTACGGAAGAACCGAAAATGAAACACAAAAATTTTGTTTGATGATGCAACGATCGGATACAAAATAGTTTGTTTTTTCGTTCGGCACACTTCAACTGAACTAAGTGTGTGTGTGTGTGTGTCCATTCAAAATGTGTGTGCGTGTATTGTAATTTATCGATTGTTATTGTATTTATATGCCCTATGAGTGAGTGTGTTTGCTGCTGCTGCTTTTTTCTTATTCATTTTCAATCAACATGATTTAGTGAGTTCAGTATCATTATCGTCTAGCGTTGTGTTGGTTTATTATTTAGCTTATGGTTTAGTCTCTTTTTTCTTGTTTTCCGTAAATCGACCGTGCGTTTTGTTTTTATTGTTGTCCCTTTCTCCTAATCAAAATTGAATACTGTATTTGTGTGTGATGGTGGTTGGTTGTTGTTGTTTTGTTTTATTATTTGCTATGAATTATTCATAAACTATTTTGGAAACGTACATTTATTCAGCGTTCAATTGTCCATAAATTGTATCGATAAAGGTTATTGTTATTCAATTGGTTCGACATGTGTTGAAACTCTTAAAACGGCCTGTGTCCGTGTGTCTTGTCTATCTGATATATCAACTCAATCATCAAAAATGGTGTACCAATGTATTCGAAATAGTCTAATAGAAAAAGTTTTATTGCTTTTGGAAAAAAACAAACAAGACAGGTGGTTTTCAACATCGAGAAAGTGGAAAAGAATGGTTTCGTTTCAAAGGAATTGGTTTTTTTGTTCAAAAAAAAAAACATTTAGTCACAAGAGCAAGGATGATCCCCTGATATCGTGAGGTTTGTGCAATGATTTTGAATGTGTGTAAAACCGATTATTATTGGCAAAATGCTTATTCGTTACAACGAACCAACCGTTCGAACTGGACTTTTAAAACCCAAAATATCTTCATTCAAATGTGGGTACTCGCTATTTTAAATATGGTATCGCTTATGAATGTAGGTAAAGGACAAAATGCCAAGATGTTTATTCATATATAATGATTTTTGGTTTGAATTCGTTCGATCAAGACACGTTGATTTGATGCAAATGTTGATGCTAAACCATACAAAGTTCACTTCAGATCGTTTGGTCTAAAACAAAAACCATAAGAAATATTTCTAGTTTTGTTGTTGACATCAAATTTTATACTTCGGTCGAAGTGTTGGGTAAAAAAAATGCTACGTTAATTGCAAATAGATCAATGCACAATGACCTCCAATTGGTTTCATTTGTAAAATGAAACTTCGTTTGGCTTTCTCGAAAAACTGTAACTTTTCTGTAGTTGTGTGTGTGTGTGTGTTTGTGTGAAGCCCAGTCTGTCAACAGGATCGAATCAAATTGCCCTCGTTCTCCATGATTCATGGGTACAATAAGTTTTTTTTCTAACTTTTTCTCTTGTTGTTGTTTAATTACTTTGTAAACGCTGTGAAAACACATACATCAATATTTGTTTGTTTTTTTTAAGCTATAAATTCATTAAATTCTATGTTCATTATTTGTTATTTGTGCGAACCAAGTGATGAGTATTTTTGTTTGTTTGTCGTTTATCTCCAATAAAAAGGGTGTCTGTATTCAGATTGCCGTGTGTGTGTGTATCGGATTTTCTGTGGAATCTATTCCATTCGTCTTCTATTCATTTTGCTTAGTGAGTTATTTCTTGTCTTGTTTTTTTTTTATTCACTTCATCGATTCGATCATTGAAATATCTCATTCGTTACACCCAATCGTCCATTCGATCAATGTGTGTACGCGTCTCTGTCGTGTATCACGCAGAAAGCCGTTGACCTTCTTTAATTATTCCATATTTTGTTTGGTTTTAATTTAACTTTAGTTTAATCATTATAATGTATAATATATACTACTGCGATAAGTAGTAAAACGTTATAAAATAATTTTTAACTAACTTAACGATTTTATTTCCTCTCCGTTCTGTCTATTTTCTTCTTCTTCATCATTTGCTCTCCGTGTTGTGAGTGTATGCTTGTTGTCTTTTTTTTGTTTTGTTCACCATGTTTTTTTCATTTGTTCGGTTAGCTGTAATAGTCACTCATTTCGTTAAATGTTTTTAGTTTTGGTTTGACGTTTATTCCATGTAGTTATTTTGAATGAATTAAGGGATTTCTCTTATTTTCTCTCTCTCTCGTTCTAAGTATATTCAAATGCCTACAACTGTGCAAATTGGAAAATTTGCATTTAGCATTTGTTGTATATAAATCAATTTTAAAGGATAAATAAAGAAGAACGGCCACTGGTCATTTCTTCTCAAAATTGCTATTTCGGTTGTAATTTTTCCTACATATACATCATTTAAATATTTGTTGCATTTTTTTTTGTTTGGTTTTGGTTTTGGTTTTGGTTTCGTTTAAATGAGGGATTAAGTCTTTGGTAAAGAAAATATGCTCGAATGACTGGATGACATTTTGAATTACATGAAAAATATGCGCGTATTTACGAAATGATGGATTTTTTTTCATATTCGAATGACTTGTGCGATTCGTTTTGTTTGTTCTTTTGAAGGGAAGGCCTTTTTTTCTCACTTGTTTTTTTAAACTTGTCACAGAAGCAACAAAACAACAACATAAAAAAAACTCTCTTTATTTTGATATGGAACTAAAATACGGAATAAATCGACACAAATAGCTCGAATCAAATCATCCATTAAATCTGAATTGCTCTAATGTGTGTGTGTGTGTGTGTTTTTCTTTTATTCCTATGTATTAGAAAAAACTGACTAAAAATATATTTCTTATATCATTTTGTTTTATCTTCACTTTTTGTTTCTTTTCTTATTATTTTTGTGTTTGTGTGGTTGTTTGCGTTGTTTCAATTTCTTGTTAGATAACGAATCTACTGGTATAATATACTCTTGATTTGCATCTGTGTATACTGTATATCGATCGTTTAGTTTCGGTTGTCTTTTCAATTTGTCGAAATCGGAAGAAACAAATACGTTGAACGATTTAAAGCAAAATTGTGTGTTTTGTCACAATTGTTTTTTCGCACATTATTCACATAAATCAAAACGAAATAATCCAAGGGAAAATGAAACATAATGTGGATCCAAAAGTATTACACCATATTTTGTTCGTTTGTTGCCTATGGGATCATTCGATAATATAGTAATAAATTGTATTATTTTTTTTTTTCAAAATTTCCTTCGATATTGCTCCAATTAGATAAACAAACGTCGTTTGTTCAAATTTTATTAATACATACACTATCAACATATCCCCGAGTGTGGCCGTTCCGACCATTCGTAGGACCTTTTGAATTAATCTCTTTTTTTGTTCATTTTTTTCTTATTTTTCAGTGTTTTTTTTTTGGTTTTTCGATTTGAGATTTCCTTCGGTCTGTTCGATCGTAAACAATGAATTGTTTTTAACACTTATCTGCCCATTGAACCGGTAAATGATATTGCTATTGAATTCGTTTTTATGTTTTATTTATTTGAAAGAAAAAGTTACGTTAAATTCAAAGTCTAGCAGATCCAAAGAAAAGTCTTTGTATGTGTGTTTGTAAAATTCGGATAGAAAGTGCTACGCCATCGTCGTATGGCTAAACACTTCATTGAATATGCTCAATTTTGTGCAGAGCAGATAAGTGTTTCAAACAGAATTTCCGAAAATCAGTTGAATGTTTTTTTCGTTCACAATTTTTTTTTTTTTTGGTTTGTAATTCTCTGGTGGTTGGCTGTGGATCCTATTCATGGGGGCATTCTGTCGAAGTGGCTGTTTTGGAGGTGTTGCGAATTTGTTTCTTATGTGTGTGTTTGTATGTGTTTTTTTTTTGCTTTTTAAAAATTTTCCGCTAGTACATCAATTAGTAACAAATTGATTTTATGCAAAAACCAATAACAATGATTCCTTCGAAACAGCTACGACACGATGATATGGGGAGCGCTCAGTAAAACGCAAACAGTCGCGATGATGGTGAACAGGGTGAAAATAATAAGGCACAGTCTATCAACGACCATTGCTGCAAATTTCCAATCTCGTGCTACGTCATGATCTTCGTCTTCTTTTCGTAACTGCATCGAAGACAAAAGATGAGGCGATGGTCAATTTTAGGCACTAGTAATCGAACAAATTAGCTGTGAGGGAACTATTTTACTTACCTGATCGGTAATGAAACGTATTTCCTTCAATATTAGCGACAATTCGTAGTCTGCTGATGACTTAATGCATGTATGTATCGGTGGAATTCCATCCCCAATCGCGTTTTCATCTTCACTAGAACTGAAAATGCACCGAACAAATAAGATCAAATTAATTAAAGTTGAATGTCAGCATAAAGCCATTGACTTTTTACAATAATGGGTTCGTTTATACCACATATCAATGAAATGTCAATGCCAATTTATATTTGCCAATGTTGAACGATTTTTTTTACCTAAAAACAGTACGGAAATAACTTGAATTCGGTGGCAATGTGCTACTGCTACCAACACCGCCGCCCGGAAGTAGCGGCCGGCAATTATTGTGCCGAAAATCATCGTTGATATCAAGAACATTAGCTAGGAGTGACTTTGAGCATCGTTGCTTCAATTCGACATCGGTTAGAATATTCAAATGGTTATGTTGTGGAAGATGATGATGGGATTTATTTGGTTGTTCGGAACTATTTGAGCACGGCGTTGGCGGATAATCCATTGGCATCGATGAACCTCGGCCCGGTGGCCGATTCATTCGTAATATTAGAGGCAGCCAGTACAAAAATACTAACCGAACCTGAAACATTCACCGATCAAACCGATTAATTATCATGTTGATATTCAGATTCTCTGAATTGAATGGAATTCAGAATAGTTGAGCATATCTGGTAAATATTTGTTATAATCATCTTCTTACCCAGTCTGACATTTCGTGTGTGTCTGCACTCCTATGGTGATAATTCAGGATGAGAATGGTCGACACGACCGATGAGGCAACCATAAACCTAAAGAACAAATTAATAAAGTTAATAATTTCGCACATAAATTCGATAGAATTGAATTGAAAAGCGGGTCAAATTGGAAAAAAGGGATCGAAAATTACATAATACTATTGAAATATGTTCCTAATAACGGTACAGCCTGAAAAGTAGAAATGAAAAACCAATTAATTTGTATGCTCATTTGGCAGTAAAAACAATTATCGCTGTCTATTTACATCACTCGTCGCTGGCATCGTTTCTGCTACCATATTCAAAAACACTGTCAACGACAACAGAATTGTAACACCTGTGAAGAGGAAAAATCACCGGTCAAAACATGGTCAAATGAGATTACCTTAACTTTTAACGCCCATTGCGAATCAAACTTACCGAGTGATAATTTTTCTCCCGAATCAGGAGGTAAAGCAAAACCTAACAGTGCCATCGAAGCAATTAACACACATGGAACAATCAAATTAAAGAAATAATAAAGTGTACGACGACGAATTATAATTGAAAACGTAATATCAATGTACGGTTCCGGGCAGCAATTGTAATAAATTTGGTTACGTTTTCCAGGCACACCTAAAAGCACATACAAACGGACACACATGAATGGGTATTATAATGTTAATTCTGTTGACAGCGTTAGAATTAGTCACAAAGCATACCTAATAGTTCCCATTCACCATTTGTGACAAAACTACTCAAATCCCCACCCATTTCATCTTGGAGCTGCAAATCCAACTGAAAGCCATCTAAAATACAAATGAAAAAAGAAAAAAAATGTTTATTTTCAATTTTTATTTCAAAATATAATTTTTCCTTACCGTATGTCCAACTGCCGAATTTCATCTCGCATCGTTGATCATCGAAAGGAAACCATGTGATATCGATCTTACATGTTGACTTAAATATTCCTGTCAGATGCCAATAAACAGCATTTAGAAAAGTTAATGTGGGAGAAGCACGCAAGCAGTTCCAATGAATTCAAACGATTTTTTTTTTCGTGATGAGAATTCAAAGGAATTTGAACTATTGACTGAACTATTTAACGATAACATGCCATAATCTACAGTCTTAAGCTTGATGAACGTCATCAATCTGGGAAATGAGGCTATTTGTGCGAACACAAGCACAAATTGGCATCAAAATGTTGTTTTTTGTTGTTACAAAAGAAAAAACGAGCCGAATCAGCACATCTGTGAAAAAGCAGGACAAGCGAGAGTCTTTGCTTTTATAGAAAATTGAAATCGCATGTATTGACCTCATAACGGAAAACGTGTTCAAAAACGTGACGACTCGGATTGCAATTTTTTCTGTTTTGCTGTTCACAACACAATAACCGCTCCAGTAGCAACAATAACAAAATCGCTATCAATAAAAATTTCTATATAAAAACGAAGCATCATGTGGTGTTTACTGACCGGGTGGTATATACACGCAACTTCCATTATTCCGAACGACTACATTCGTTGGATAGGTGCCATCGAAGCCTTCATCCGCTGAATTGTACATCAGAACGTCTGGCTTCCATATTCGATGCGGGGGTCTTGAATTTGGCAACACACAACGAACGAGAGAAGAGCACGAACGCGAAATGAAAGAAGAGCGAAAAAAAAAACACAAAACATTATAAAGAGGGAATGTGTCACGTGCCCTTGAACTAGCGCACGTTAGTTGCTTTCAAAAAAATGCTTACATTCGCAAGTCTTTGACACCGCCATAGTCCGACGTATTCCATCTTAAATTCATATCATTCCATTCCTGCAATGGTGAACGAAGGTACATCAGTATAATCGTTGATAATAAGTACAAATTGAGTGGTAAGCGAGAGTGTGTGTGTGTATTTATAGGTAGATGGTCGACCTACGGCCCATTACTTACTAGTTTTAACCAAATATTGGTTACGAGCATTTGATTCTTTTCGTCCACATCGATGATTTGCATCAATGTTAAACCGAAACTAATTTGCAATGGATCCGATTCATTAACGACCGGCCGTTCAAGTGTGTTATACGTGTCCAATAAATCGTGCAGTAGGCGCTTTTCATTGTATCCGGCAAAACAAACTGCAAGTAGAAATGCAATGCACACACATTAATATGCAGTTTTAGTGCGTTCCAGTCCGATCGGAACGAGCGACAAAATTTACTTCGTCCAACATATCCGAGGCAATTGAATAACTTACATTTTGGTAAACAAAAACTAAGGATCAAATATATCCACAGGCAGTGTTGAATACATGTTAAATGTTTGTTGCTGTATGTACATTGTTTTGGAGACGATAATGTTGTGAATGGCAATGCAATGTTCGATGAGGATGGTTTTTTCGTCGGTCGATTTGCATGAGTCGCATTTGGTATGTGACTGTTTGGAACGTTAGCAGCAGCTGCAGTAGCTGGTGTAGAGGTGATGATGGTGGTGGTGGTGGTGGTGGTGTTGGCGGTGGTAGTGGTGGTGACGACAGTGGCGGTGGCGGCAATGGCAGCGGCATCAGTTGTGATTTCCGTACGATTGTTAACTGTTGCTAATTTTCGTTTGGGTTTTGGTTTTGGTTTTGGTTTTGTTTTTGTGATTGTTAAATGGTCTAAATCCAGCATTATTTTTCCAGTTTGTTCCGTTTGTGAGAATGGAAATTTTGACGATTGGTTGCTGTTGTTGTTGTTGATCGATTTGATGCCGTTTTTCGTTTGTTTGTTACGCCCAGTCGTTCGTTTCTGTGCATTAAACAATCTGACGCTGTGTGAATCTGTCTCGTTGTCGTTTATTTTATTTTTTCTCTTCTTGTTATGCTTAGATTGTGTGTGTTTGTTTTCTTTTATTCAGTTACGATTTGATTGTATGTATTCGTCGTGAATGAAACAATTGTGCGCGTCTCGATTAGATCGGGTGTTGTGTTTGAGTGTGTGCAAATAAATAGAAATCGCCCGTTTTAGCTTTCAGTTTCAATTGCTTGTACTGCTTTCGCTTTCAATCACACTATCACACAACGTTCGCTTGTATTTTGAGCTTACTATTTCTTTCTTTTAAAAAATTGTAGCTATTGAAAATTCGTTTTAATTTATTTCTCTTGTTCGTTTATTTATCTGGTTTCTTCTCTTTTCTTTTCTTATTATTTCATCTCCTTCGAAAAAGTGCTCGTTCTTTTATTTATCCGTATGAGTTTCCCTTTTTATTAAAGCAAAATTTTCTTATAATTGCACTAATTTAGTTATCATCATCATTTGGTTATGTGTGAGCTTTTTTCTGAGTTGTTGATTTTAGATTATTATTTTAGTTTTTTGTTTTTATTTGTTATTGCTGAATGAAATTGTTTAGTCTACGGGACGAAGAAAGAAAGTGAAAAATCAATCAAAACGACGAGAGATGAATGATGCAATGAAAAATGAAGTCTCTATCAAACTTATGTCCTTTAGGTAGTGTATTGGTTTCTTTTATACTATCGGATTGTTGACTCTTTTTTTTCTAATATTTTGTTTATTATAATTATTATTACGTTTTCAATGACCGAAAGAGAAAATATAACACGCAGAGGAAAAATGTCAATAATTTTCATATATTTCGTTTGTTATCTAAATTTATCATGACTTTTTTTTTTGGTTTGGTTGGTATTATGTAAATGAATTGGTTTTAATAATGTCTTTTAATTCACACAATTTGTTGTCCATACAATTTTATAATGAAATTGGTTATGGAAAAATAGGGAAAACATTACTTTAAAATGCGTTATTGTTTGTCTAATTACACAATTCTTTATCTCTTTTATTTATTTCACTAGAAAACAATTTATTATAAAATTTTTTTTTTTTATTCAACAGAAATCAACAAACAAAAGTCTTTCGTAATGTCTTCTTCATGACTTTGGTTTAAATGCAATCATTTTTGGGGCGGGTGATTATTTAAATCTATTTATGACTGTATTTAAATTTGCTATTATTTTGTATTTGTGTGTTTTTTTTTTTTTTGCTAAAGTCTTTTTCTATGTCTTCTCAGCGAACTCGAATTCAAAAATCGTCGTCGGTGTTTTTTTGTTTCAATATAATTTAATATAAATTAACTAGTTTGTTGTTGAGTTTTCAAGCCAAACAATCAATTAACGATGTGAGATACATGTATGCTTTATTCGGTGGCTCGTTCCGGTTATTATTTTCTTGGGTTGTCCGAACGTGGTATCATTTCTAGTATTTAACTAATTTCAGCCTTTGAATGTTCATTTTTTTTGGTTTCAATTGAAATGATTACCCGAAAACGTGGAAAAAAAGTAACCAGAACCAGTTGCACTATAACACCAATAAATGTCGATGTGTTTGCACGGTTTATTCTCTTCTTTTCTATTCAACGAAGTCTTCTCTTGTTTTATTCCTTTTCAACGGAGCAACCTATTTTCTGCACGCAAACGTTGCTAGTGAAAATGTGGTCAACAACACGAACTATATATTGTCTGTAGTTTAATTTTTACCAAGCGAAATAACTGAGATCAATTCAAAATCACATTTGAGATAGAAGAGAATTAGTCCAAATGGTAGTTACTTCGTTGGTGGTTGCAGTAATATTCAGACGAATCGCAGAAATATAACAACAGGACCAATTTTTGCACGGCAATTTCCTTTTGTTATTATTAGCAATTCGATTGGTATTATAAATATTATTGTTGTTGTTGTTTAATGTCAATGCTCTATTATAATTGGTGCTGTTTATACGATTTATTTTATAATGATTGTTCATGTGGTCGGTGATACTTATGCACTTAACGAACATGGTGACAAAATTCGTCGTTAATCATGGAAATCAATTAAATTGCTGCTCGGCAGCGCTGACCAGTTATTATGCCTATTACATTGTGGTGGAAAATTGATTTCAACGCAACAATGATTTTTGATGTAATTTCCTTTCCACACGTCGATTTTATTTGGCTGGTCTTCTTTTTTATTGGTTGATTCAAATGTATCTCTGTTCGCTATTGCAACCGTGTTTGTTTCCTCCCGCACAGTGTGCACAAATTCAATTATTTCGGAATTATTGAGTTTTATTGTATCTATTTAATTGCAGTTTTCGGATATTAATTTATGTCTGTCTGTTGTTGTTGTTGTTGTTTTTTTAATGCGAAATTCTTTTCGGTTGTTATTATTATTGATTTTGCTTTGATGAGTTGTTCATTCGTTTATACATTTGTATTTTGTGCTATGATACAGCCTATAGCTTATGTTTTGCTAATAATATTTGTTTTTTTTTTGTTTTGTTTAAATTAATTTGTTTATTGTTACTTTTAGTTCCTTTGTTTAATTAATTAATTAGATCGTGCTATTGAAACTTGGCATTAATTTGGTTGTTTGTGCATATTTTTTTGTATGTTTGTTCGTTTCTTGTTGTGTATTTGTGTGTTGCTTTGACCGATTTTTGTTCTTTTTTGTTCTGATGTAAATAAATAGCTCCGTCTTCTTCTTCTATACGATTTATTAATCCAAATTTAAATTTATCTGTGAAATAAAGTGTTGGAGAAAGAAGAAAAATAGAATGATTACATCGATTTTTTGTTCTTCTTTCAAATTCATGTTAGGAAAAAAGTAGGCCCGCTTAATAAGTGACGGGATGAGTGGAAACTTTGATTTAAAAGTCGTGAAACATCGTAAATCAAAGTAAACTACCACATTCATATTTATCGCTAAGTGACTGTGTTCCGCCTCTTTGCATGGAACTCATTCACTTCTCACTCCAGTTTTTCGCCTATTTCGTCGTTGTAATCGTTGTCGTTTGTGTGTCTATGGGGGTCGGTTCGGTGGTTCGGTTGTATGCTTACGCTATGCTGTGCTGTGCTCTCTGCATCAAGCGCGAACAAACAATAATTTCCATAATGTGCGCTAATGATAATAATAAGGTCAAGACAGCGCAAAATGAGCGAAGCACACAAACACACACAAAGCAAGCAACGTACAAAAAAGCCGCCCGAGTATTGATTAAACGTCATTCATTCATTACAGAAGATTTTCATTAATGCAATTTTATGATTTGACAGGTTAAAGTATTGAAATAAAGTAGTTTTTACATCGTTGTCCGTGCTTCAACCGCACGCTCGCCATCTCTCTCTGTTTCTCTCATACTCTTTGTCGCTTTTTTTCTGTGTTCACGCCGCATATTTATGCCACACCATATAGTACACAGTGCTAGTTAAATATATATAATTTTTTAGGCATTATCTGCAAAACCGAACGAATGAATGGGCACCAAACGAAAACCGACTAAAGGCCACCGTAATAACAACTTACAGCACTTTTCGAGCTGTAAAATATTTTCAATTAATTTTTGGAAATCGTTTGCTTTGCTTTATTCCCTGTTTATCCAATAACATTTACTACAACGTCGGCTACTTCGTTGCCACCCATCCACCACCACCGTCACCACATCCAGCTTCCCTTCATTTTTTTTGTCAGGCTATCCGCGCTAGTTCGCTTTTGCCAACTCGATTTTATTTTTATTTTTTCCGCTGTTAATTTTTCATTTTGAATGCCTTCAATTTGTTAAACGATGCGAAAGATGTTTTAAGAAATCAATAATTAAATGAGTTGAATGTTTGTGTTTGAAAAGCGAGCGAGTGAGCCAGAGAGGGGCCGGAGCGTACATCAGCTCAGCCACGAATGTAACGCTATTTTGATTCCCACTGTTAATATTCACACGCTAAATACGATATCCGGTGTGCAGCGACGTTCAATGTTGGATTAAAATTCCATTAAAAGTTTTTCGCTTTTAGAGCCGTTACGTTAGTGTTTGTGCGTTGATGTTGGTGAGAATGTGTATGTGTGTCGGTAAGTGTTGTTTCTGTGAATCTGATTCTATTATGTGTCATATTCCATGTTCCGAATACGTATGCCTGATATCCTCGGATATCGAAAATGAAAGGAGTGTGAAAGAGATGGGCAGATAGAGCGAGACAGGGGAAGAAAGATAGAGGGATAGAGAGAGTAAGAAAAAGTCCTATCCATTGAGTGAATTCAAAAGCGATTCGACAAAGTGGTAAATATGCAAAAGTCCTTTCCCTATAAAACCTCGGCTAACACTCTATCATTTGCAAAATTTCTACGCTGACACGCACACAACGCGATTTTCAGTTGAAAATCATATTGTTTCCGCGTTGTTCGTGCTCTCTATTATTGTTTCTGCCTCTTTTTCGGTTGCCTTTGCCGATTGCCGCTATTGTTGTTGATGCTGTTCCACATGCGGTATTTCTTTTTTCGAATGATTAATATGATTGTAATTAATAGTACAAAATGGAAAATGGTTGTTTCGTTGTGAAAAGGTAGGAATCATTAATTGTGTACCCTCATTTGTTATGCGAACGAATGGAACAGAAAAACTTGCGCTGAAATGCGTTCATACATATATATTAACATGAACGTGGTTCATGCATTGCATGCGACAGATAACCGCTACATGTTTTTCACCCTTCTGCATATACCATTCCGTCTCATCATCACATACTCGCCTCATTTCAACGCAAAAATGCACGCATTTCGAACACATTTCCAAATATTCCATCATTGCTATTTAAATTTTTCAGCCCTTTTCAATATTTCGTTGGGAATGGAACTTATGCACACATTATACATTCATATGGGAGAGAAATAAAAAATCGATGCACATTCTGCCCATTCCAAAACTGTGTTAATAGAAATTAATCTTTGATTTTCGAGAGCGAGTGAGAAACCGAGAGAGAAAAAATAACGGCGAGCGTTTCAATTGCATTTTTGCGCTTGCAATTCATTCAAATGCATTACATTTCAGGCATTACAAATTTATTTGAATGTATCAGGGGCAAAATGCCACACCGCACACACACACAATATTACTGAAGAAAGTTAACTCTGTTCAAAACTGACATTAACCAAGGTGGAAAGAGGCAGCGAGCGAGAGCGACGGAGATAGAGAGATAGAGAGTGACTGTCATTCGCATGTGTCAGAGGTTTGACCATAAATAAATCTCACTGTAATGGGTTACATAGCAAAAGTGCGATAAATTTCATTTACGTGGGCTATCCCAATGGCTGTGTGTGCCATTCGCCAGGACAAGAAGAAATCAAGCGGCAGTGCTTTTTGATGTACCGACAAATCGCACAGCAACACTTATTCACTCGCTTCATTCGCACACACAGCCACAGCCACATACGTTGCTCTGTGAGATAGGTCTCAGTTTTTCTAAAGCCATTCATGCATGATCAAAACATTCGGCGCTACTACTACCATGTACATTGGCTAAGGATAGGACACGCAGTGTGTATAGTGTATAGTGTATGACAGCGACAAAACTTGAAATTGGAATAATGTACAAAGTTTTTATGTTGTTGTGTCCTAAACATCGAGTTGGTAGCGCCAGTGAGAGAGAGAGAGAGAGAGAGAGAGAGAGA